GACAAAATCCAGCTTGTTCTACAGGTTGGGCATCATCCAGTGTCCTTCATATGCGAGCGAGAATAGTTTTCGTAAAGAGCTTGTAAAGCACGTTCAGCAGGCATATTGGACGCTAGTTCCGAAGATCCTCCGTATCACCTTTCTTATGAAGAAGGATTGTTCGGAAGGTTCTCCACTGGTCAGGGATCCTTTCCTTTTGAAGGTAGGATGTTAGATGTTCCGCAAGTATCTCGTCTTGGCGATGTCCTCCAGCTCGTAAGAGCTCGGCCCAAACATGGTCCCGTCCCGGAGCCGCCGTGGCTGTCTTCATAGTCTGCTTTGCGGCGCGTACTTCAGCAGGTAGAAACTTTGGTTGTATCACTCCAGGGAATAACGGCGTTTGACACAGGTGTTGACGAGCGAAAGAGATTGGTGTAGAATCTGCAACGGCCATTGGCTACCGCTCGAGATGTGATGCAGTCGGATTCAGCCTCAGTGCTCTTCTCCTCCCTAGCAGATCCTTGTTGGCTTTCGAAATTCGTTTCAAATTTCTTGTGCGAGGCATCGAGGAGCTTTCACCACAGGCTCTCAGTCCTCTAAGAGGCAAATCGTAGTCTTTTGTCGGGTCCTCCTCAATGGGCCAGTCACAAGTGGTCAGGAGCTCCTCCAATCTGATACTCATATACGACTTCCCTCCTTCCTCCAACACGGTGGCAGATCTTTTTTCCAGCTTTCAGCCGAATCGCACTTTTGCTCAAAGGGGGTGGTAAGCTGAGCCACACTGAAGGATGCCACCACTGAGACGTCCAGTAAGCACCACCTTCGGTTGGTGAGAATGTGGTCGATCTCCACATGAGTCCTACCCTTGGGTAACATCAATGTTCACCGCCGGTGTTCCTTCTTCATGAAGATGGAGTTGCCATGAAAAAGTCTTGCGGTGGATAAGAGCCCAACAAGACAGTTGCCGTTCTCATTCCGGAGTCCTTCCAAATCTCCCGAACCTATTCTCCCCTTCTTATCCCCTCGCAATGAAGTCAGCCGCGACGAACTTTTAGAAGAGTTTTCTATGGGGATGATTTCCTCCAAATCCTCATAAAGCATCAAGTTTTGAATCATCAGCTGCCGATGTTGGAGAATAGCAGTTGATGATAGTGATGGTATTTGATGCAAAGGATGGAGTTGAAGGATAGCCAGGAGAGGTGATAGGATCTCGTGCAAATCGACGAGATGGTCAACAGATGGGTGTACGACAAATCCAACGCCTCCAACATTCCGTGATGGGACCTTTCCACCACGAATGATGAGTGTGCCATCACTCAGCTGCCTCACGTCCGTTTTCCTGGACTTTGTTTCCTGCAGGGCGATTAC